TGACTGTGCTTAAAATTCTCAAGACATTAAGAAAACTATATTTTGTGTCCAACAGCCGCAATGGCCAACTAGAGCTCAAAGTCTGCCGAAGATAATCCGTCCCTTAATGCTTATGCTCAAGCCAATTGTTCAATTTCTTATGCTTCTTTGGTATCTTTGCGTGAAGATACCAGCTCCTGATGTTTTTATAGTCCAGGTGAGGTTCAAGCTTTTGCTTATTTAGTCATTTGAACAATGATGTTTGATGGGATCATAATCTTTTGTCATCTCAACTGTCGTATGATTGGCTTCTATGCCAATGCCGAATTCAGTGAAACTTTTTCCTTGTTGTTTTACCTTATATAACAGGTAATGTTTACCTTGTATCACTTGCTGTATTTGTCTTAGCTTTTCATTGATAATTATTAAGTTACATGAAGCCTGCAATGTAGAATTTTGTTTTTATTTATGTATTATTGCTGATTTTATTAGAATATTCTTGAATAGTCCTTTTTCAGGCATTCAAAAAAATCTTTTCATCTCGATTAAAATCCTGGTTGTAAATGTAAAGGAAAGGTAGATTTGAAGGTGTTACCCACTCCCTTTCCATATATCTTGGAAAACCTCATGCTTTTATATGCAAACACATTCAAGTGGAGGTTGTACCAATTAAGGATAAATTAAGGATGACTTAAAGCATGTTTGGCTAGCATTTATAAACAATTTTATATATAAATAGATAGAAATGAATGGTGGATAAGTGGGTAATACTTTTGGGTTCATGAATGTGTGGATAAAAAATGGTTTCACTGTTTATAAACATTAGCCTAACATGGTTGCAAATGGTTTGATTGCCAATGGATCTTCCACTAAAGGCAGCGATGGATAGAATAGAGTGGCGAAAAAGAATTGATGTAATGGAGTTCCATATTTATTGGCAACATGCCTTAGTATGTGTTGTTTTTCTTCATAAGGCGAGAAGTTGTACTAACTCCGAATGTAGCAGTTTACGTCCATATTAGGCACACTCACTTTGTTTTTCTCCAATTGTTTTTACGGAAATTTTGCATGTGTTCTAATACATGGTTTAGAAGCAATTCCCAATTATCTTTATGTGTGCTTGAGAGTGCATCACAAACTAATTTTACTGGCCAGCTTATATCTAGCTGTACTTGGGCATCATGGTCTAATTTTTTTCTAGCAGTCTGATTGGATCTCAATTATTAAAGTATTTGTTGTAACTTACCCTCTGAATTCCTAGCTTGGTTCAGTTATGTGAATTTGACTCTTGCAGAATCCGCCATCTGTTCCTACCCTAGTGGGTGTGAAGTGGGCTAGCTGGTTGAGACGTTCGGCATTCATTGTAGATTGGCATAATTTTGGATATACGCTGCTTGCACTATCACTTGGAAGGAGTAGTTATTTCGTATCAATATATCATTGGTAAAATTAGATTCTTATTATTTTAATTGAACTGAGGATCTATCTTTGCACAATTTTAGAAATATAAAATTTTGGTATATGCTTAGGATTGAGAAGCGGTATGGCAAGATGGCTCATGGTTCACTGTGCGTGACCAGGGCAATGCAACATGAATTGGCTGAGAACTGGGGAATCAAGTAATAGTATTATTTCAAATATCCGTCGTATATTTATATTTGCTTACTCATTTACTTGCTCCTATGTTATTTACCTGCATCCTCTTTGTTTTCCAATCATAGAGCCACTGTTCTATATGATCAGCCTCCTGAGTTTTTTCGACCAGCTTCCCTTGAGGAGAAGCACAAGGTAAGTCAACTTTATTTGTCATAGAATGCTTTAAGAATGCATTGAATCGATAAACCTAAATTTAAACTACAATCTAGTTATTTTGCAGGATCAGCAAAGGCCTCAGCCAGCCATCTGGTTTTCAGGATTGCATTAGTAGTGGTAAAGCAAGTTGTAATACTATTCTCTTGGTTCACTGTTTAAGTTGATGTTGAGAGTGTAGGCTAAATTGGATTAGACATGAACACTTCTAGCAGGGATGACAGCATTAGATGACAATGATCCTAATGTAACTCCAGTTACAGCTCAGCTTGGCACTGATATTTTCCTGAAGCAAAATAGACCAGCGCTCATTGTTAGCAGCACGAGCTGGTATGTTAAATTGATTCCTCATTGTCTTAGTTTACCTGAGCTTACTTTTCCTTTCATGACCACCCATGTCCTTGTTCTCAGATCATATGAAAATATAGGAAAGAAAAAATATAAATAAACATGGGTTGGCTTAATGTATTTCTTGAATATCATTACTCTATGAAAAGATTTTGATCCCAGGACTCCAGATGAAGACTTTAGCATTCTTTTGGAAGCAGCACTTATGTATGATAGACGTGTTGCTGCACTACTAAACGAGGATGACTCGACCAGAGATGAAGTTGTTTGGAAGGAAATCTGTGACGGGAAGCAATTCTCATACCCAAGATTGTTATTCATCATTACTGGTAATGACTGTTCATACGAAACAATCTTTTATTTGACTAGTAACTTTTTTACATTTTAGAAAACTGAGTATCATTTTTTTACATAATTGAAGGTAAAGGGCCAGAAAAGGAAAAATATGAACAAAAAATAAGGAAGCTGAGCCTCAAACGGGTAGCGTTCCGTACTATGTGGCTGTCAGCAGAGGATTATCCTTTGCTTCTTGGTAAGTTATAAATGGTTGATGGTTTGTATTTCACTTCCTGCGGGTAATAGTTATATATCTAGGGATGGCAACGCTCCGAGCTGGCCCTCCCAGTCAGGTGCAGGGGCAGGGATTAAAATATACTCATTTACCTCTCTGATTAATTAATTGTTTTTATTTTAATATTATTTCCTTTTATTTAAATACAATTTAGATTTAAAAGTACAAAAATAAAACAAAATGAAAAGATTTGGTGCCGGGACCATGTTCCCCATCCCCGACCTAATTCCTAATGGTGTGGGAACACGGTATTTTACCATCCCTACTTGTATATTCCTTTTCTATGCGTTCAGGATCAGCAGATCTTGGTGTTTGCCTGCATACTTCTTCATCAGGGTTGGATCTACCCATGAAGGTATTGTGTCCTTAAATCTGTTTTTTGCACGGAAAAACAAGTTTACAGCAATTCATTTAGCTCATTTCCTTGCAATCTCTCTCTTGTTCTTGTGTTGTGTATGTGAGATGCCCTCATTGTTGGAACTTTTCGGTTTATTAGGTTGTAGATATGTTTGGCTGTGGACTTCCAGTCTGTGCTGTTTCATATTCTTGGTAAGATCTTCTTGTGCACTTCTTCGTGAAATTGTAAAGATAAAATACGTTTTAACTATATTACTTTTCTATGTCAAGCATCAAGGAGTTGGTAGAAGTTGAAAAGAATGGCCTTCTTTTCTCATCATCTTCAGAACTAGCTGATGAACTCATGGTAAGCTTGTATGCAAGATAGCATCTTGGAAAGCTAAAAAGTAATTTACATTCCTCCAAGAACAAATCATAATGGTGAAACAAGAGGACAGTGGATATCCATTATATTTAGTTTCCATTTTTCTACAACGTCGCTATTTATTTTGCTTGTATTCAGGGGGTTGGGGGTGGGTGTTGTTCTCTCTAAATGTGATATCTCAATGTAGGTATGGTAAAGCAACTCCATCTGGCATTGAGAACACCATCCGAAGTGTAAAGCGTGAGAAGTAATAACAAATCGAATTGGGGTAGGCTTAAATATCTGGTGTTATTAAAGAAATGTCATATGAAGGAATCAATCTTGAGGATAACATTCATCATGTGCCCCTGTTTGGTTTCGATAAAAATCAGATTTTTTGTAGATTGTGAGAAAAGTTGATGGAATATGTGTTTGAAAAGTTGTGAGGCACATGAAATATGTGGCTAAAATTAACTATTGGTTTTGACATGGATTAATATTTACTTTTGTAGCTGAATCAAACTGGAATAATCTTGAGATTAAAGTAATGATAAAGGACATCAGCTAGAGGTGATTGAAAAGTGAAATTGATTAGGAAAGCAGGAGGTTTTAGTCTGTGCACTTTATTAGAAGGAAATATTATTCTACACAATGGGTTTTGTTTTGACAGCTATTGTTATTGCGGTTGATAACGTCCTGAGAATATAATGGCAGAGTACTAAAATTGATTCTTGACCTCTACAGATTCTATTCAATGGTTTCCCAGAAAAGTGTGACTCTTTACGGAAGTTGAGAATGGGTGTCATGGAAAGGGTATCTTCAGCAAGATGGGCAACGGAGTGGGAGGAAAATGCCAAGCCCTTAATATCTAAGGCAAACCAACTATCCTTGTTCTGGAATTTTTGATTACTCTCTTTTACATTTTCTGTTATTTAGTTTTCCAACGAAAAATATTCAGGCTTTAGGATCCCTCTGCCATTGCATTTAATGCTATTCTCGATCGCTGAATCAGATATAATATGCTCTGTTTCAGGTTATTTCTGAGAACTTCAGCTGAAGGTGCAGGAAGATAACACCAAAATTTACGAGTTTGAAATTTGCTTAGTGCACTTGTATGTAGATATCTCACTCCTCGAGTCTGGTCATGCGGGGGTACTCTTGCTCGCACCAACCCCTGTGACTGAAAGTATAGCTTAGAAAGATGGATCATTTCTGCAAATGAGTGTGAAATTTGTTATTGTTAACACGCCTTATAAAACTTGTATGTCAAAGATGGATCGGGTTTGTTTCTATATCGGTTGCAAAGGTGGTGTACCAAGTGACTCAAAGGAGAAGTGTTAGCACCGACGTGTAATGTATAAGGTGAAGGCAAACATCACATCATAGCTGGTTTATAGTGACAATGTGCACGATAGATTATTATATTGAGAAGAATTTTTATTTTGTTCAATCCTACCCAGTATTACAACTTACGTAAAGAAAGTGTGGCTAATGAAAAAAAGCCAAAAGTAAAGCATGAGAAGATGCTCAAGTTGAAATGAGATATTACAACGTATATAACGATATTATTAAGGTATAACTACTCTCTTTTGTTTATCTCAATCCTATTACTCTGGCAGGATTTCCAACTGCTGTTGCACCTGCTGGAATTTCCTTTAAAATAAGAGATCCTGCTCCAATTTTCGCATTCTCTCCAATTTTGACGTTGCCCAATATTTTTGCCCCTGCACCTATGAGAACCCCATCTCCAATCTTGGGGTGCCTGTCCCCTTGAATCTTTCCTGTACCTCCTAATGTCACATCATGTAAGATTGTAACTCTATTTCCAATAACAGCTGTTTCTCCAATCACAATTCCAGTGGCGTGATCAAATACTATGCCATGTCCAATTTTTGCTCCTGGATGAATATCCACTGCAAAAACTTCTGAAACTTGGTTCTGAATAAGGATTGCTAATACAGTTCTATCATTTATCCAAAGTTTATGTGCTATTCTGTGAGCTTGCAATGCTAAGAATCCCTTGAAATTCAAGAAGCAATGAACATAACTTATGCAGGCAGGGTCGCGCTCTTTCACTGCTTTGAGGTCGTCTACGATAGCACGCTGGATATTGCCATCTTCTACTAGTGCTCTCAAGAAAACGTCATAAAGGGCTTCTCTTGATAGATTCACTTTGCACAATTTGATTGCTAATTGATTTGCTAATGCAGTCTCGAGTGACTTGTGAGATAGTATAGATGAACAGTAGTACTTTGACAGGATGGGCTCTTGCTTTGTGTAAAATTTAGCATCTTCTTGCATTTTTTGCCATATATCATCTTCACTACATTCTTGAGGAATGACTTTAGAAGAATCTTTGAATATGGAATTGGATGAATCAATACGTCGAACCCTTGGTGTGCACAGTCTGATGAACCTGCAGAAGTTACTTATCTGGCATCCGCAGTGTGAATCGGCCGTGAAATTTCTCTCATGGTTGGTAGAATTATCAATACTTGCGGCCATTTCTTTCCAAACACAAAGAAAACAATATTTATCACAAAGAACAGAATAATTATTCTAACTTGTTCGAGCTTTCATAGCATTGAGGATGAGCCCCTTTTATATAGGACTGGAGCTGGAGAAAAAATTAATTCAATCGAAATCACAATGAAATTTAATGGCAAATTCATACTAAATCCTTTCCATAAAGTAAGCTTGATAGGGTTCCTGAAAAGACCAGTAATGTATATTCAATGACTTGCAGACTAAAATGAAATTCCAAGAAATTGCCCAAAGTCATCTCCCTATATATAATATTAGTCTCGACAATAATATAAACGACTTTGACTCATTTTTTGTATTTTGTGTACGCAACACGCATGGCATATAGAATGACGAACGTAGAAGAAGAAACGTCTTGCGTGACGTTTTCTTTGGGGACAAAAACAAAAGAAACAATCGAAAAACAGTCTGCTGACCAAGCATCTGCTCGTATTTTGAGGGCAATACTCTGGCACTTTACTTCGAGAAAGTTTCCGGTTGATTAAGAAGTAAAACCTTAGGGCCGGTTCTATTTACCATTTTCAAGCTCTTTTTTGTTTTCGATTTTCCAAAATAGTGAAAAAACTTTATCTTTCCTATTTTCGAAGAAGCGTTTTTGAAAATAAGTTAAATATTTACAAAAAAAACACAAAACGACAAATCGTTTTGGGTGTTTTCAGTTATAGCCAAAATTTTCAAAACGCGTCGTGAGTGTTTTCACAAGAATTTTTCAAATTACAAAAAAGAACACATTTTCAACAATCTCAAAATAAAAACTCAAAACACAAAAAGAACAATCACTTAGCTTCCATTGACGTCTCGAGGGTCCTCACAAGAGATGACATATGCGCGTACAACGTTATCTTGCATTAGGCTCCGGGTTATTTTCTCTCTCTAAGATTCAAACTTGCACCACAAGTAAATTAGCCTCCGAGTTATTCTATATATTTTATTTAGTCAACTGGGGTTAAGTTGTGATTTTGAATCAACGCGAACTGACATTTCATGTATATTTTATTATATAGCTAAATAACTGTCCCTTAATGTTCAAAATCCATAATTTACCCTCATTTCATTGACTTGATATTTACTTCGCATACTATTTCACAATTTATTGAAGAGAGATTATCAGTGTGGTTTTAGAAAGATGGTCTACGTTTCCATGCTACATGAACATTTTGACCAGAATCGAACATTTCGAATTTAAATCTAAAGTTTCGGTTCGGTTTCAAAAAAAGGACAGATCCTAGAACCAATAAGGTCCCAAATGGTTCTTAATTCTTGAACCGGAATCATGAATACCCAAATCTAGAATTGAATATGCCATTATTCATAAAAAAGAATTTAAAATTTATTCACCAATGACCCAGGACAAGATCCAACAAGTAGCAAGTTTACTATCTCTAATCAATTATTTGAATAATTAAATCATAACAATCTCGTTCGTCTCCACTCCGGATTGAACTTTATGCACAGCTTGCCCCCCACAAATCTTTCTTGGGGTACCACATGCAGAGCTCATTTTTTTCAAATAAAAACAAAAGAAAGAAAAAATGTTTGTGTAAAATTGGAAACAACGGTTTATTTTCGAGTTTGGTTCCAGTAATTATATGGACCCAAATAGTTTAATTTTTACCGGTATCCCCTTACTAAACTTTACTTTGTGAGTGCATAACTTTTTGTCTCAATAACTAGGGCTGTCCAAGAGGCGACAATGGTAAACCGTCCTTTTGGTTCCTCACAAATTTCCCAAGTAAAATTTTGAACAATCACTGAACTTTAACGTGATCACGACTTATTCACTGAACTTCAAAATGCGTCTCAATGGTCACTGAACTTTCGGCCGTTGCACCACATCCAATACTTACCAAATTCCGTTATATTATTCGCTAACGTGGCTAACGAAAATCTAACGTGGCAAGTTACGGTCGTTAAAAAAATGACAGCTCAGCAAAACCATTGTTTTATTACTCATCCAACTTACACTTGGTCACAGTTCACTCATTGAACTTCAAAATGCTTCCCAATGGTCACTCATCTTTGAAATGTTGCACTCCATTCATCATCCGATATATTTTGTTCCCTTCATTCTTAATGGTCGCACAAAAATTTCAACCGATAAGTTACAAATGTTAAAAAAATTACAACTCAACAAAACTTTACTCACCAT